ATTATGTCAAACCATTAAATCAGCAAAGCAACAGAAATTTCCTCCAAGAAACAAAACCCTTAATCTCGCAACCAGGGCCGGTCCTGAGGCGAGGCGGTTGAGGCCTGCGCCTCAGGCCCAAGACCCAAGGGGGCCTCATTTCCATGGCCCCTCTATTTTTTTTTTTTTTTCAATCAATCAATCGAAGGAAGAAACCCCAAGGGGCTTCATTTTCATCGCCTCTCACCTCTCTGCTCCACCGGACCGGCAACGGCACTCCGGCACTCATCTTCCTACTTTCTCTCCAACCATGTCTACCAAATCCAGGTAAGTGAATCTCTTCTCAGGTTTTCTTGGACTTTTTTTGTTTTGTCCTTTTGGCCTTTTTTCTTGTTGATGGGGTTCGAATTTTTATTGTTTTATGCCTTAATTTTTGATTTCTTTTTTATGTTATTTCACTCAATCCCTAACTTTTCAGTAGCAGTTTCGTAATATATCACTGCACTAGAGGTTTTCGTAGATATGATCTATGGGCTTTGATTTATTTTGGGCAGACTAATTATGATTTTCTCATTTTCATAGGTCTTCTTTATCTGAGACTCCCAACGAAAAGGTTTCACCGGCTACTCCTCGGGAGAGCAAGCCCGGCAGGGGGATTTCTAAATTTGAAGTTGATTCACCCTCTCCACTACAGCTAAGTTCTTGCTTTTCATTTGATCGGTCTCCTAGATCTGTTCCTTCAAAGCCTACATTGGACCGACGGTCTCCCAAGTTCACTACGGCACCTGAATCCTGATGTAAGTTTCTAGTATTTCTTTTGTAACTTAGAATTGTATTTTCAAATTTCTTATATGGTTTCAGTAGTTGGTGATAAGAAGGAAGAATTCAGTGTGTTGGTAGAAAAATTGATTATTAGATAAGAGAAAAGGTGTTAGATTATGCAATTTTTAATCATCAATGAGCTAAGTCTGTGAAGCATACGCTGCAACCCTAAGGAAGGTTAGGTCGTTGGCATTTCATTGAGCAATAAATTGGCATTTCATTAGGTCATTGTATGTTTTTATTGGTGTTTGGTGTTAAATTTTTATTTCAAGCTTGTGAGTTGTGATGGTGGAATTTTCAAGGTGCGCATTGTGTGATTCCATAATTTTAGTGGAAATTCTACGTCTCAGGTAAGTAATGACTTGCTCTAACTTGCCATTGAATATACTTATATGATTGTTGTTTTACTTCTAAGTTTTAAGTTAGCAATAGGTTATATGATACACCGTTTTTGATTTTGGGGGGCCTAATTTATGAAGCTTGCCTCGGGCCTCGAAAACCACAGGACCGGCTCTGCTCGCAACTGCTGGAATACACAGTAGACTAGTGTTGCACTTAGTAGTGTCGGGTATCTAAAGCACAATCTATAACGATCTTTATCGAACTTGCACAATTGGTATTGTGCAAGATCTCACTATTGTATCAATTCATTGCAATGCTTCACGCACTGCCATGGCTTCTATCTATGATGATGTTCAAGTCCTAACGTAATAATATGGAAGGTGAAAATTTTCCGTATTAAGATGCATTTATTCATTTCCAAAAATAATTTCATTAACGATACAAAACAATTTTGTACAAACTAGTCATAGTTTAAGATGCTAAAAACCTTTACAAATGCTATAAAGTAATATTTGAAAATCTGCGAATTTAAAAAAATAATTAATGCAAACTGCTTTTATGGAATAAACTTTTGATTTATACTAATCAAAGTTGAACGTGCAATGTATATTATTCTAAAATACTTTATAAGTGATGTAAAAATAACATTTTGTACCAATTTGTTAGAGGATTTGATGAGTCTTGAACAAAGTAAAAAAAAAAAAATTAGCATAGAATTTTAAGAGAAGAAAATTATACTTAAATTGTATTATCAAAACTCAATTTTTATGATTCAAATTGTTTGTATAATGAAATACTATAAATGAACAATCTTTTTATATTACATTTGATACATGAAAATGAATTGTTAATATATAAATTTGAACTCCCATTAAAATTTTTAGATAGATGAATATGATTAAATTCATCTATAATAACTCTAGATTCACATAATTCAAGATTTATTCAGTGAAAATTCATTGAATCTATATAACTGTGAATGTTAATTAATTGAGAATTAATAACACATATTTCATAAACGACAATAATTATGTAATATTTATTACATATCGAAAAACGAAAAGGTACTATTGAAATAATTGAATTGTAAGGGGGTTAATATATTATAGATTATAGATGAAATAAAAACCAGTTTGTGAAAACAACTTACCCTTTTGATCAGAACTGAACATCCAAAGAATATTATCCTTTCTTCATATTCGATTAATATGCATTGAATATATCGATTGAAAATATTTATTATAGATTCGCATTATGTGCCCCCATTTACGTTATATGTATCTTTACGTTCATTCAAGATATCAATTGAAGGAGAACTTTGAAAATATCCATCTTTGTTTCAAAAAAAAATTAAGAATTTAATTTATTATCCAATCAAGTGAAAAGGACCTGTAAAGTAAACATTGATCATAACTAAATAATTGTCCAAATAATTCATGCTAATATTGTTCAAATGACTAAATAAATCAAAAATATATATTGAAAAACAAGGTGTTGAATCTGTCAATATAGTTAAATAAATTAAATACATATTGAAAAAAGAGAAGTAACGTAATGAATGTGTCAAATGTACATTCATCAAAAATAAATAGTTGACAAATAATTAATGATGATATTGTTTAAATGGTTCAAATAATTCATAAATTAAATACATATCGATAAACAGAAAATAGCATATTATTAAAATAATTAAATAGATATTGAAAAACGAAAAGTAAGATATTATTAAAATAATTGAATTTTAGTAAGGATACTATAGTTCAAAAAATATTCTCACTTGATGTGATATTTAATATATTATAAATTAAGCCACTATTTGAAATTATTTCATAAATCTTTAATTCACACACTAATTAATTTTCAACTACTCATTTATACAATAAAATATTTTGCACATAAAACAAAAAATTTTCTTACTTTTTAAATGCATTCTTAAAAAAAACAAAATAAATAAATCATCATCTCAAAATAATGGTCAGCGAACATGGGCTAAAAACTACAAACAATTATACAGTTATATTTATATTCCATAAGTTATTCTCAATGGTAAGCCATAGCAAATTTTATTAAACAACAAAATTGTCTTTGATACCACAGATTTCTTATAAGTGCCATAGAAATTTAAATATGTTTAAAATTCAAAATTTGTATCACCTTTGTTTATAGGTAGAAAATTGTTATAGGCTGTGTACTTTGGGATATTTCCACAAGTTAGGACGATTTTTTATTTGATATATCACAATTATAGCATGCCACATGTAACGCCCCGAATATTATCGACTTAAATATTGGGGTGTTACCGATATCATTTCATAAACATAATTGAAGCGAAAATATTTAATTGAAAATTTAAAACCTTTATTTTATTTGAAAATAAAATAACAGTGTCATAGAATTTAGAGCACTAAATGGAATTAAAGAAAAACAAAAAATATCCTAACAGAATTATTCTTAAATATTTTACCGAAAATTTTCTTTACTTGGCAATCCACACACCGCTCAGCCACCATCTCCATTGACCAACCTAACCTGAGATGTTAAAATTAAAGGAGTGAGTAATTTATACTCAGTAGGATACATGCGTCCAAACAATACGACAACTTTTAAAACATGAATCTATAACATTTCATACCATCATTTCATCAAGAGTAATT